TTTTTCTTCAATAATGCAGTTATTCAAAATATGATTTTTGGAATTTTGTATAAGTACTAACTTTGTATAGGTCCGTGGTTTTAATGGGCTTGGAAGATGAAGGGCTAAGGTGATTTGAACATTTTAGTGATTTATATAAATCTTTCAATATTAATATTTTGTGAAAATGGTCCTAGATTATCAAATACTGGAATGATTAGTGTAACTATTTTAAATTTTTATAAAATAAAATTTATTTATTTATTCATTTCCTATTAACATTTTAAAAACTCAGAAACTATTAGTTCGAATTTTGAATTAAGTACATCAAAATTTTCAAAAAAATGTCCACTAAATAACTTACAGAAACAAAGAGGGTCCTTAGTTGATAAATAGAAGTTTGTATTGTCACAGGATTAAGGATACTAAATCCTTATGAATTATTATTGTGAATAAAGTAATTTATATAGGTATTATAATCTATTTACGTGGAACCTTGTTTAAAATGTTCAATCCTTAGTTATAAAAGTTGAACATTTTATAAATTGTTAACTACAAAATCATTTTAAAATTTTGTCGTAATTTGTACTTAAAATGCTTACAAAAAAATTTGTGCCTATGTCTTTTTAATATTTTTAAACTGCTATAGCGTAACAATTTATACGGAGTATTGTATTAAATGTTCAAGCTTTTTTAAGCAACAAATAACATTTTATTGACAATTATAGAAAAAAACCTAAAACAATTAAAAACTAAAAATGTCCGTAAGTTCAAAATTGTATGGTGTATACTGTATAGAAAATTAAAATATAAATATTCAGTGAAATTGTCATGTATTTACAGTTATTCGTTTTTGGATTGCAACAAATAAGTAAAACAGTATAAGAACACACATTATTGTATAATCAATAATATATATATATCGCTCTGCTCAGAATCTCAAAATCAAGAATTTAAAAAAAATGTTCTTTGAGTAGGTGTATTTAAAAATTTAAAAAATCGGAATTATAATAAATAAATTATTAAAAGAAAAAATGGGGGTGAGAATGCTCGGTGAATCACTCTGTAAATAAACAAAAGTATATAATTTATTATATCTATACAATCGTGGTTCACAAAAACGAATAATGGTTTCGATTTTCGATGTCATCATTATGTTATTATATCGAGAGACACAAAACGTGGTTCAGCTCAATATTAAGGTCAAGAGTATAAGATTAAATAAATGTAATAAATACATACGATTAAATTGCACATGTAGGGTGATGCTTCTTATATATAACCGATTAAATTGCACGTGTAGGGTGATGCTTCTTATATATATACCCTTGGGGTTCGCACAATCCACTCGAACGAGATTGCTATATCATATAATATATTATAAATGAGCATAGTAATAAATGTAACATAAACAAGTATCTAAAAACGATTAAAAATCATACACTAAAATATATTATAAAGGTATTATTACAACGGAACGGAATTATTATTAGAATTTTAGCAGTTAGCAGTTCATCAGAAATCATTTTTTAAAATAGAGTTTAAATACGTTTTAATATTATAGAGTTATGTTGTAGAGCACGCGAATATAAATACCTTATATAAGTAGTAAGTAATAGTTATTGATATTTAAATTCTTATAATAAATGGCTTTAATGTTATAATGTATATCAATAAAGTCTCAGTTTGATTAGCAAAACGGATAAAAAGTTGATCCCGAGTAATTCTCTTTTTTTTACAATATACAGCTTAGTGTTTAGTTTAGTAACACTAACTTATTGTCATATATTGTTACAGCTTACAACAGATGATAGTTCACTGATAATTCTTATATAGAGATTGTTATGTGAACAGTCGTGTCGTGATGTAGATACCTTTTCGTAGTCTGTACCAGAGTAACCAAAAAATAAAAATGTTAGTGAAATATTTGTTTCGTGTGTAAGTTCTGGCCGTTGATGGAAATCTGAAGTATTGGGGGAGTGTTTAGATATTTTCAAAGCATCTAAATATATACCGTTCAATCGTGTTATTCATTATTTTCGACACTGACGAAAAAAAAACATTGTTATAATCCTATGAAAAATAACACTACAATATAAATAATTTTTGTTTAATATGCGCATCATATTTGCAGATTATATTATGTCATGGCGTTTACTATACCTAAATACATATTATTATAAGCTTACTGAATGCACATTGCACATACAGATGCAGCGGAGTGTGCGCTTGAAGCCATTTACCGGCCCGGAAGAGACAAGCTTGGGCCTTCCCTATAAATTGTGAAGTTAACAGTTTTTATTAGAAATAAATGTGTGCCACATTACATTTAAATAATTAATTAAACTATAAACAAAGAACAGTATTTTATTTAATGATTCAACAAACCGTCGCTTACAAATTAAATAGGTACATAATAACTTTGTGTATATTACATATAGGTAGGACGTAGTGTTGAAGTTAATAGAGATTATAGGTAGAATGTAGACGATTAATAATCATAATTAATTTGAAATTATTGCATTGGATCGATGAATTAGTAAATCAGAGACAGGGTATTTCTATTATATTCTATGGCTACATAAAGTATTTAGCCAATGAAATATACCCAAGGGCCAAGAGGCAAGATTAATAATATAATAGGTATATTACATCATAACAGTTTTATATTTTTACACATTATTATAATTTATAATACAGTTATGTAAATTATGACTAAATTTTTCTGCGAGCCGTTCATATATAATATATAAATAAAATGGGTCTGTAAAAATGTATGCTGAAGCTGACTTGAAATATTTCTACACGCTCTTATATTATGTGTTATTATTGTTATACACAATATAGTATAGTATAATATAGTATACCTACAGTACCTACAAACAGTGTCATAATAATTGGAGAGGAGAGAAGTGGCCACTCTGTCCCCCACTTGAACGTCAATTTATTGAAGCTATCTCCTATTGAACTAATGAAACGCTTTTCAATAAAACTTAAAATATTTAATCGCGATAGTCTTAAAAGTGCAATCTTCAGGCTCGCTGGTACTTTTTACATGGATAAATCAAAGTTTCTATAAAATTTAAATTTAAGAAAAAATATTTGAAATTTATACTTAATACACAGGTAATATACAGACTATTTGGTGTATCAATTAGACAAAGTGTTTGACAATTGGGGTGAAACCCTTCTATGCCCCTACTTGAACGTCAATGTATATTAAAACAAGCTCTTGCTAAACTAATACGAACCTACCTATATAAAGGTCGTTATTGAATCTAAGCTAGAATCTAATTTATTAACACAACATTATTACATTATATTTTATTTGGCCATTTTCGTACATGGAAATTTTTTCCAAGTCCATTTTTATATGGACATTATTACCTATAGCCAATATTATAGTAGTCGTTAGGTGTCCATCGTCCGTGCATATAACATTACACAGTGTTATTCAAAGTGCTTTGAACTGGGCTTTCTAGATCACCTTATCTTACTTCGTGTGATTATTGCTTCTTTTGGGGATATGTTAAAGATAATGTGTGTAGTGTGTACCACCATAATTATCAACCCTGGAATACATTTTCGTTCCGACCAGATGTTATCATTATACTATATGTTTGTTCGTAATGTGACCTGCAAGCGGAAGCCACCCACTATATATTGTTTAGGTACTAATAAATAAATTCAAAAGTTTTTTAAACATTATTATTTTATTAATAATGTATCATATTATATTAATCTAAACCAAGGATAACTAATTAATCTTTTTGAAGGGCCACATTAGTAATCTGAAAGTTGTTCACGGGCCATCGGAATTGCGGACGTTGGTGAAAAACCAACAAACAAAAATGATAAGCTGCAACCCTATAGAAAGTACATAATATAGATTTTTACTTTTTTTTTGTCTGCTGGCCGGATAAAATGCGTGTCCGCCATTTGGTGACCCCTGCTCTAAACCAACTTTAGAAGCATCTGAAATCATTTGAATCATTTTGGATAACCCTGTACTCGTATTATTTTATGTCATTCGGACGGTTGGCGAACGCCGCGCGCGGCGTACGTGAGTTTTCCCGACGCAGCCATGGCAATAAGCCGTTTTTCGCTGACTTTCGTCGTCCAGTGTCGGTTCTAACGTATACGCGGGCAGGGTGGGAAGCTGTCTGTACCAAGTTTTTTGGTGTTCTGCACCTGTTAAAAATTCAACGTCGTGTCACTAGTTTTGATAAGTAAAGTAAACGATGTGATTTTATTATCGATCGAAAGAATGAAATTATTTCGTAAATTTTTATCATTTATTTTACACACCATGTTAATATCATTTCGTTTTCAAAACATATTAACAGTTATGTACTAGAACACACTGATTTTTTTTTTTTAATACTTTAATCATAAAAGTATAGTCTAATAAATAATAATATTATATTATAAAATATTGTAAAATTATATCATAATATAATAATATAGCCTATAGGTAATATATTTAACATAAATTATGATTATAATATTTTGTTTGAATGACAAAGAAAATCTATGTTTTTTTAGTATTAATATTTGTATGGTGAGGCAAAAAAAAAAATGAGGATTTAGGATTTTAGATCGTGCCAATAGCTTACTTATGAATTATATATTCCATATCCGTATACGAAATTGAGCACTGTAAACCACCTCTATCGTTGTCGTCGTCTTTAGAATATACATATACATACAATAATACGAATAATAAAACTTAATAGTAAATATTTGAAGTTTATAGGAACTCGTTATAGGTAATATTTTACACTGTTTAACAAGTAATCAAATTTCGTCTCTTTTGTTTTAATCGTATTTTATCTAAATATATTCTGTTGTTAATTATATTCGTCTGTGAGGTCGGTACCTATAAATATAATTTAGTATAGAAATATTAACTTTATTATTGTATACACTTATACATTGGTCGTTCAGATTCAGCTTTGTTTAAGATCTATGCTATCATTGTTTGTAAGGAGTTGTGTTGTATAATAATTTATTTTGAAATATTTTAATCCTACACATCAAATCGGCTCAGAGTTGTCCGACGACAACAATATAGCAGAAACAAAAAGGACAAAAGGTGTCTGCTTGTATTAAAAATTCAAATATCCTCCTCTAATCTATATTATGTAAAGCATAAAAGTATACAAACATTAATAAGTTTAACGCGAATTTAAGTAAACAAAGATACTTTCAGTAAAACACTGCCATAACTAACTACCAAGAGTCGATTGTATTATATTTGAAGATAGATTTTTGTAACAATAGTATATATGTATGACAATATTGTATACAGTATAATATAATATCGAAAGGTAGTGCTTTTGTTGTGTTTCAAACAATTGTCGAGCTATTAAGCGCAAACGATTTCATTGTCATCGTCAATGCACATTATACTGTATAATATACGAAAAATTGAGAGCTTCGTATGATGATAGGTACATAACCCTGTCTCCTAATCTACGAGGTTGTATAGAACCCAACTAAGTACCGCATTTTTACACAATAAAAACGACGACAAAATGCCAGAAACACAGAGGTGTCTGCGAGTATTCAAGTATCGTCTACTATATAAAATCATACTGGTATATTTTATTTATTCGATATCTATATGCCACCATAATCGGCTTTTGATAATGGTAATATGGTATATAAATTATAAACATTATTAATAAGTTCAGGTGAACCCCTGAGGACAAAGATACTTTGATCCAAACATTGCTATAACAATCTATCCAATTTCGATTGTTTTATATTTGTACGGTGACTTTGATAATTAATATAAGATGTGGATAGTACAAATAATATTGTCAATATCGATAGTGTTTTTACTTTCTTAATAGATACATAACGAATTTCGCGATTAATTTTATATGTGTATAATACAATATAATATCGTTAGTAGCTATAGGGTTTTTATTGTATTTCAAACCATTGTCAAGTTAATATAACAAATGCAGAAGATTTAATATAGGCCATTGCATATTTGTCTTGGTAATTCAAAAAATCTAGTACGATAACTTACTCCTAAATTAAGAGACTATATAGAACCCAGTCCGGTTAACATAATATAAATCGTGTTAAAGTAAATTTACAAAACGGCATCGGTAATATTTTGAAACACTATCGCGTCTGGAACCCTATAAAATGCTACATGCATATAGGTATACTATATTATACAATAATTATAGTGTAGGTACCTATACGTTTTAGTTGCGATTAATAAATATTAACAGTCGTAATTATGCCAGTAGGTTTTGGTGTTAAACTTTAAAAAGAAATTATCTCTGCTAGTAATAAGCTATAACACAATTATTGTTCCTGACTACAATTTAATCTAATTTTTTACAATGGTAATTTTTTTAATATTTTTTTAATGACAATAGTGACAGCCTGCGTATTGCATAATCTAAAGCAGATTATTAATTGATGTTCTCACTCACTTATAAAAACACATATTTCAAGTAAATTTAAAATTAAATTGCAGTGCTAAAATACTCATTTTTTGTGTTGGTTGTATGGAATACAACATAACAGTAATACGAATATAATATTTTGTATGAACATTTTGATACTCTAAATATCAATAATTTAGATTCCAGAATTGGAGTGGAAAGGGATAGGTACCTACCTCACGTAATCGGTTATGTACTATATTATGTACCTATATTATACTCAGTTAAACTATTAACTTTAAATGGCAATCAATGAAGTAAAAAATGTTTATTTGATATGATATAAATATAAATCTATACAGGGGCGTATTTATGGGGGAGGCTGGGTGGGCTGCAGCCCCCCCTGAAATTTCAAGAAAATCCAAAAAATATGAATGTCAATAAAACTTTATTTGTTGGGTAAAAAAGCTTGAAAATATAATACAAGGCTCCTGCTATATTGTTACAATAGCAGTTGAAAAATATTAAAAATCCTTAGTCATAGTTTTTTTATAAGCATTTAAAGTTCGAATCTTGATAAAATACGGAAAAATCACAAAACTTAAAATTTTGCTGAATGTTTTCATTTTTTATACACCGAAAAAATTTGAAAATATTTTGCCTCTTTTTGAGCTATTTACGGACATTGACAGTTTTCATTTTTCTTAGTTTTTTTTCTATAAATATCAATAAAAATTTTTTGTTGGGTAAAAAGCGTGAAAATATAACGCAAGGCTCCTGATATATTGTAACAATATTAGTTGAAAAATATTAAAAATACATAGGCACAATGTTTTCTTATAATCATTTAAAGTTCGAATTTTGACAAAATTTATCAAATTTAAAATATAATAAATATTTTGTAATTAAAAATTTATAAAATGTTCAACTTTCATAGTTAAGGATTAAAAATTTAAAACAATGGTCCACGTAAATAGGTAAATATATAAATTACTTTATTCACAATAATATCATCAAATATACTTAGTAATATCATAGGCTGACTGACCGTTTTCGCTTAGAATCGTTTTTCTTATACAATGATATTATATAACTAAAGGACCCACTTGTTACCTACTATGCAGCAGAGCGACATCCACTTACCCACTTTTTGTTTATTGTGTGACTATGTTGATAATTTTGTTCAGCCCCTCCCGAAATAAAATTCTGGATACGCGCCTGAATCTATATAATAGGTATTGTAATTTATTGTGTTTATTTGGAGATGAAAAAGCTTAGCGATATCGCAGAGAAACTTAAACGTTGAGATTTTTTTCTCTAAAATGTAAAGTTCCATCATACCAATAAATAATAACATTATAATTCACAACTAGATATGTAAAACCATTTTTTTTTTTTTTTTACAATAGGTAACACCTCAAAAACCGGTTGACGTAGAAACTCTGCACCAATATTGATAGTTCAATCACTCTGTACGACAATAATATTATATATTTTAATCGTCACAATGGGAATACATTATAAATTGTAAACTGACAGCGCTGGCGAACGGTTCGCACCGCACCAAAACACATCGCCCGGCGTAATAATAACAATAAACGGCGCGGCGTGTTGCGTCCCGCAGGAGTGCTGCTGCAGCTTGACGGCCGCCCGAGTTGTGCAGTAGTGTGAGGTTAGCCGATGTGGTATTCGGCTTGCTGGGCGGCGGTATGGCTCCGCCTGCAGGCACGTCGTCCATGTTGCGGTCCCGGCGCCGTGACGCCACCCTCAAGCCGAACCGGACTCTGGACAGGAGCGCCTCCCGGGGAATGCTGTACGAGAACGAGGAGCTCCGGTTGCGCACGATCAACATCAACGCCGAAGTAGAAAAAGGTACGTCCACTAAACGAGTCCGTCTTATATTATGCTCAGTTCAACTATATATAGCTGTAGCAGTGGTAGTGGCGGTTGTAGTAGTGGTAGTTGTAACTGGTAGTGCCGTAAGTTATTGTAATACCTATCACCTGTGCCATAAATTCGTATAAATTTCTATAGCGTATGTTGTAAATTGTTGTTATTATTACGTTGTCAAACGACGGCAGGCCTGTGGGAGTTCAAAGCAAAGTCAGTTCTCCCATGGGTCGGCGGTGAATTCACGATAAAAAAAAGTACTGTTGTTGTAATAGCTAGTACTAGTAGCAGGGGCGGAATCAAGGGGAGATTAGTGGGTTCACTCTCCCCCATGGCCAGTGGCATCCGCAGGATTTTTCAATGGGGAGGGAGCTTGAAAATGAGCTACAATTTTATTTTGTCCAGTTTAATAATTGCAGACGTTTATTTGGGATATTTTAAAATGTTTGTAACTTTTCAACTTTTCTGGTAGAAAAAATTATCTGATCATAAGCTTCGAGGCCCAGTGTATGTTTTTGGAAGCAAATTGGATCTAGTTGGTACTTTTAGGAAGTCGAAATTGAAAATGCTCAGTGCTTTTAAAAATAATTGAAAATTTATTTAAATTGTTTGGTAACATGCTTGGTTATACCGTCCTCACTTGGATTGTATTGATTAATTAAAATTTCTTTTTCTATAAATATCAATAAAAAATTATTTATCCGGTCAAAAAGCTTAAAAATGTAATACGTAAGTTTTTTTTATTATAGCTAAAATATTAAAGATACATAGGCATCATATTTTTTTAGATTCTGAGTGAAACGATGAATGTATTGATGTGTGTTTTTTTTTTTTTTTTTTTGTGTCTGTCATCACGGTTTAGGACAGTAAAACTGCTTCGATTTTTTTCAACAGTATCTTGTTTGATGAGAAAGTGAATCTAGTTGGTGTATTCGGGAGATCAAGTTTTAAATTTAATAATAGTTTTCAAAAGCGACGGAAAAACGGGAATTTTTAAGCAAAATTGGTTTTCCACAAAATCGATTTTGGTTTTTGGTGTAACTCTAAAACAAATGAGGCACAGTACTTTTACCGAAAAATTACAGATAATTTATGAAAATTTACATGCAAATCAATGTTTTTTCAAAAATGAATTCATTCTGGTAAGACATATATGAAATTTACGTCTTCCTTACTATAGTTGACAGTTGAAACTTGATTAAAAAGTAATAATAATACGGGCAATGGGGGTGGCTTCAGTCCGTTAGCCCCCCCCCCCCCTGAGGACGCCACTGCCTATGGCCACTTGAATATATATATGTACTTACATATTATAATAATAATCATTGTATTTCTCAATTATAGATCGGGAAACTTGATATTTTTTTTAAACACTTTACAATGCTTAGATAATATGTATAATAATTAATAATATGTGAAAAAACAATAAAAAAAATAAGAGCCTTCTTGAACAATCGACTAACTGACAGTCAAAACAACGAGTAGGTGTATCGTGTATATAAGTAGTTGTGTTAAGGTTAACTGATGTTTAGGTGTTTACCCAATTATTTTAAAGTATATAGTATATGACCGACCCTGATGTCAAATGTATTTGGGTCTTTAAAAAAATAGCAATTAAGAATATTATCGATTTCAATTTTTAACGAACGGTGAACTGCTATTATATGAATAAAATATAAATAAAGATAAAAAAAAATTATATAAATGACAGGATAATCAATAATTATGAAGATGAAATTATTATTTACGTATCAGTAATCAGAACCAAATTAAGATACATAAAACCCATGAATTCATAAAATACCTACGACTAAAAAAAAAAAGAAAAAAATTATTAATGTACCAATGATGTTAAAAAATCCAAGTAGGTACTCAGAGTGCACACTATTTTATGTGATAATATAGTAATAGTATTAATATCGTACAGAACGACTTAGTATTATTGTTTGAGGATATATTTAACAGATCGTATATACGATATATAGACCACGGATCACCAATTAATGTTCTCGGTGGGCCACTCTAAGAATTTAGAAAGTTTTCGGGGGCCACTAAAGTTGTGTATGTATGAACATATTTATTAAAAAAAAAAAGTAATGTCGAAATCATAAAATTAAATTAAAGTTACCTAGGTAGTGAAAATCTCATTTAATTCACCGTGAAGAAAAGTAATTTAAAAAATAAATTTCCTGTCTGCGCGTGGGCCAGATAAAGTTTGTTCGCTGGCCGCCATTTTCGCATCCCATAACCGCGGATCGCAGGTTCGAGACAGTTGTCACAATGTCAGATCACTGAGAGCTGCATAATATAGTGCTTGCGAATAATTTATGTGCCACGGCTAACAAAATAATACAATAAAAAATAATATTATGATATTATAATATGAACCGCAAACGTTTGACGGAACCTCGGTCGACGCGAATAACATACATAAACCAAAAAAATTACAATTAATATTATTACGGGTGTGCTATAATAGCTATCTGGACGTGTGTAACATGCCACGGTGGGACTCAGCGCGAATCTGTGTCACTCGACATTTGCCGACGTTTGTAACGAGAGCTGCAAATGTACATAGTATTATTAATATTATTATATATTAATATATTATATTATTATATTAGTCTGAACCGCAAAAAAATCGTGTGATGGTATGCCAAAATACACATCACGGGTTCCTATATTATAGCCGTGCAGTCTCGGGCAATGACATTTTTACTTCCGCCGCAGCTTACGAGCAATCGTCGACAGCCACAGTACCCCACCGGCGTCGAAAATTAAAATAATTAACATGCGAGCCAGACAACATGGCCAGGGCTCAGGAGGGAGGGCAATCGTCATGCAATCGTCTACTTTTGCAGTTACGGCTGACGACGTGTGATTCACGATCAGCACTCGAGGGACCATGCAGGGGTGGCCTGGGAAAACGACTTCAGGCCAAGGGAAATTGTATTCGTGTAGGCCATATTTCGTGCCAATATCTTGAAGTTACCCGTACCTGTACGCAATTTGTTAGCTACAAGTGAGCCGCTTTGGAAGTTGAGCGCTATATATGGAAGCTTCATAAGAGTTAAGACTCTCAACAGACAACAGTTGACTCTTGGGGGGGGGGGGGGGTATTTATGTAAATTAATTTATTATAGCCGCCAATCGTCCAGTCGTCCAGACAAATGGTATTTAGATATAACGGGAGACCAACACGGTATTAAACCACCTGCCAGTTAGTGCTTGATATAATATTACACAAAACGTATCGATACGTCCACGCACATTAATCTGACTCGAACGGTGAATTTTCCGACCGTTGACTGTCCGCTGTAGCGTGTGGAGAAAAGCCTATACTTACCGCTGGACGAGAGAAGGTAATTTTCCAACGCTTCAACCGGCATCAAAAAATAAACTTTTGGTGAAGGCGTGACAAAAAAATATAATATAAACATGATTTAAAAAATGTGTCATACGCATAACCGTACCGCCGATCAAATCCCCATACGAATATTATATCCTCGTAAAAATGTGATTTCGAGGGAAGTTACGGTGAGGGTTAAGACACCCTTAGTCTGCAGAGGCGTAATATCATCTTTCTTTAAAGAGGAAAAAAACGTAACCAGCCCTTATAAGAAAAAACGAATTTCGTTCAATAGTGATTTTTTCCCCTCAAATTGATTAAAAATATATTATTACATGAATTTAGGTATTTTAAAAATGTTAACACTTAACTGCTTGCTATGAACAAATTAAAAATGAGATAGCAATATGAATTTTATGTGAAATTAATATGCAATAAACATTTTCACAACTCAACTCATTCAATATTATTGTTTTCGGTTGTATATAGCTCCTAAAGTCCTAACGCATAAACATTATTATATTTTCTATACACCATTATTGTACCTATAAACGATGCGCACATCAGCCCCACGAGTTCCCCAGCAGTATAAATAATAATATATTATAATGAATCAAGACAAACACGATAATATTGAATATAGAGTTGAATATGGCCGTTAATAGTATTTATTTAAATTTTTAACCAATTCGTTGTCTCGGGTACATCCACAGTTGTTAAATTTCAATAGATAAAATTTTTTTTTTAAATTTGTTAAAATAATTGTAGTAAAATCAATACTGATTAAGTAAAGGTGTAAATAATAATAATAATAATATTATTTCAAGCATATACTATAGTATACTACATATTATTATATTAGATTGTTTGTTATACTTTAATTGCTTTAATCATTACTTAATATAATATTTTAACTATGTTAAATTGTTAATAATGCTCCACTCACCCACCTAAACCACAACAATATTGGGGTATATTGGCCCTCATAAAATGTACGTATCCTCTTGAAATAATTAGGTAAGTATTAAAGTATTCAGTTCTTCAAAAAAATTATGTGAAATCACACAAAATATACAGACTTTTCAACAATTTCAATAAAAAGAATACGAAGAAACTCTCTTCAATGTTGCAGGGTGGGTGCAATTCTGTTATATTCTTCACCCTATACATAAATCTTTTGTATAGACTATATATGATATAATTCGAAGTCACCGGGTCAAACCAAATAATAAATATACACAAAACACTGTAAAACCACGTGTTATTAAATTTGTATAGCCCAAGAAAACATGAATAATAATAAAAATAAATAAATAAACATTAAATTATCATGAAAAATGAAAATTTATATTGCATGCATATGCGGTCGTCAGTAGGCGACCGACGACATAATAATAATAACAATAAATATTATACACTCCGTGGAAATAAACGATTATACATGGTAGGTAATTCACCAAGTAAGCCCACATCTCTTTTTATTTTTCAGTAATACAGTTATTCAAAATCTAATTTTTTAAATTGATAAATATACTTTAAGACCACACTTTAAAATTCTTGAGATTTTTTTATATTTCTAAAGAAGAGCCCTGTGGAGGTACAATTGAATATCATCTGTTAAAAAGTGGCAAACTCTCTTTTAAACTGTAAATTATTTTGTGGATAAAGTATTAAAATCAAAATTCGAACAGTAGTTTTTTAGTTACTTAATTTTGTGTGCTTAGGATAATAGATCCAATGGTAATGACTAATGAATTTAGAAGATGTGGGGCTATGGTAATTTGAATATTTTAGTAATTTATATTGGTCCATCAATATTCATAATTTATAAAAATAGCCCAAGCATTATAAATGCAATATCAGATATTAAATCTATTTTTATTTTTGTAAAATGGTTTTTAAGGTCAAGGACTAAGGATTATCTTTAATACAAACATTTTAATAACTAAAAAACTACACGTTAGAATTTAAAATTAGGTAAATGGATAAACATTTTCAAAAAAATTATCCATTAAAATACTAAATAATTTACAGTAAAAGAAAGAAGGGGGTCTTCTCATTGAAAAAACAGGAGTTTGTATCGCCACAGGACAATACAAATAGTGGTACTAAAAAATATAAAAAATTCAAAAATGTGGTTTTTAAGTATATTTAAAAATTCTGAAAATCAGAAATTGAATTTTTGTGTTATCAGTGGAAAAATGGTTGTGGGCATGCTTGTTGAATCACACTGCAAACATAATGCTTTCATGAAAGTTTACATCGTATACACTATTCTGTATTATTACAATTAACAATCTTTGATCTGAAGTTTATAAATTATTTAATTATATATATTATGTTTATATTACCCCGTTTTGATTATCTAGTATTTGATATTTTGTGAGTTGATGACGTATTTTTGAGTATTTATTATAGTTTTTCAACTATTATTTTTAAAAAACATATATTATTTGATATAAAAATATGGCTATATGACATAAGCGATAAAGGTACAAAAATGAAATATCATTTGCGCCAAAATGAATATTTTAAATAAATAGTTATTTAAAAATGTCAATCTTATAAAAAAGTGAGAGAGTGTATGAGCCCACCATTACTCTAAGGCGAAGTAAAACTTCTTTCATAAGTAATTGGGCCCATGAAATTATAAGTGAATTAGGGAGAGAGTGAGAAAAATCAATACAATAAAAAAATATGTAATTTACGATAGACATTTTTGTTTATTAATGGTTTCTATGGACATATATAAATAAATAAGGAATAGTGTAGTTTCATTTTTCGTTACGATTTTTTTTCCACCCACACCTCAAGAAAGAAGATTTACTTAAAAAATTGTCAATAAATATAGTATACTATACTTGAAACTCATAATACGCTCACCTGCTCACTCTAACTTTAATATTGACCACTCGTCAACGAGTGAAGTAATTCTATATTATTTAATGAGACAGTTCTGTCTCGTTAAATGGAACAAAATTAATATGAAGTACTTGATATTAAATAGGTAACATCAATTTAAAGACTTACAACAAATTTACAACAAATATTATACAGACATTATATATACAGATTAAAGGTAATAGGTTTATGATAACAATATTATATACAAGGAAGAAAATTAGTTTTTACAAAATAACATATTATTTTTAAAGATTTATCACTCGTCAGTGTAACTACCTTAATGAACAATATAAGATTAAACTGCACAGGATCGACACGGGTTTCCATCCGCCGGATCTAATCTACATAGGTCACCTCGAAGAGTCGGACCGGATCTCGTCTTGGCGGCGGTGTACCACACCAACAACACAGTCGCCTGCCGATCTTCAGCCATCGTCTCCCGATGGCCGAAAGAATCGGCCTACGCCTAATTCGTTTAGGGGCTGCAGCCCCTTGCAACAGGTCTCCACTGTTATCGGCTGATAACACATCATTGTCCTCCGGTTCGTCAATCTGCTATCCGGCAGATATATTTTCGTCAACGACGTTGACTTCGACCGACCGTGGACATCTCATCATCAAAGGCTCAAAGGCTGAGGGACAGAACTCATCATTGTCGAAGCAATAATCTTGGTCTGCTCAGCCGTTATAACGAATCTCGTCGGCCTCGGAAAAGTTCGCACAGACAGCACGACGTTCAACGAAATTTGCTCTCATGCGTCAAAGAGGACGATTTTACCTGCAGACTTGACCGGATATGGTTAAACATTTGGACCTGCGTAACCATCATTTGCGTATTCAACGTCCTGGCTGTTGGCACCTTTTACACTACAGAGACAGTCTGTTACATTTTCTTCGGTTATAATATCTAGTTTTCTCGGAACGGTGTACTCATTTCCACGATTAGCCGAGGATTCTATACCCAGTGGCCCACGATCTCTAAGAATTCGAGTTCATCTGGATTTAACTGCAAAGGAGTCATGTCGATTTATATCCAACTTCATAACAATGAATTCCAAATTGTATCGATTTTGACGACTTTTGTCAACATTTTAACTTTAAATGATTATAAAAAAATATTGTAGTGCTTTTGTTTTTTTTCATAGCACTTACCAATAATTTTTAATAATTAAATGAAAAAAAAAAACAAAAATCCTGATGTTCTCAAACTTATAACTTTAATTGTATTTATGTATCTAAATAATAAAAACGTTACGAAACAGATAAATGTCTTCCCTATGGAGTTTTTGGTAATTCTATTATAAATACAGAGGGCCAATAAGCCCTAATGACATAAGCGCCAAAAGTACAAAAATGACATATCATCAATGAATATATTATATAAGTATTTATTAAAAAAACTCTATAATATACACATAAATATAATTTTATAAAAAAAATATCAATAATAAATTATAATAGGTATACAAGTGATATTATAATATTTATTTGTGTACGTCGGTAAAGTTAGATTTCCGAAAACATAACGGACTAAGGAAATATTATTATTTATGCTCGTACAGTACATTTTATCGTTGAAATAACACATTTCATATAAAAAAATTTAGAATATATACAAGTACTAAAAAAATAAAATCAATCGACTGTAAAAAAAACAGAGTTTCTCGCGTGGGTTGTTATTTGAATGAGCTAAAAACATAGCATAGCAGCTGTTTTGGTGGACGATATTGCTTTTAACATTTGGTGGGACATTATTCGACTGAAAAAATCTATTTTTATTGAAAAAGTAAATCTGTAAAATAAATTTTACATGAATGATGAATAAATATAAACTTATTTAATACTGTTCAATGTTTCATTACTGTTATTTATTAATATAGTCAACAACATTGGAAGTGACATAAAAATGGTTATTACTGTACAAAATAATATACAAAAAAATATGTTTTTATGTATCAATTTAATATTCAATAAATAATATAAAATATTTCTCTATTATGCCCACACGTGTGATGTGTTGATTATTATTTTAAACTGTAAACTCTAGAAAAAACATAAAATTGTGCTTATAAATCTTTTTTTTACAGGCCAAAATTACATAAAAAAGCTACGTCGGGAAAACGAACAACTTAAGAGGGAGATATGGAATTTAAGAGAAGAATATGAACGGTTGGAAAATTACGTAAAAAGCCGAGAACAATCGGAAAACGAAGAGGTGAAGTTATACATTTAAGAATTAAATAATTTATCGAGAGTAGACATAAACGTAGAACGAAATAATTAAATTATGTCCTTTTAGTGATTTGATGCACAATATAAAATAAATAAAGATGTTTAATGAGTATACCTACCAACCTACCTAACTCGCGACCGTGAAGATGGCCCTTCAACCAAGTTCAAACTTTTTGAAAATTATGCTCAGAGTTAGCAAGTAGTTTGCAAGAATTTGCAAGACTATTTTTAGAATTTGCAAGTTAAAATTATGGAAGTTATCGGAAATAATGATACTGCAGGGCCAACTTCACGCAGCCCTTCAAAGTCAACCCAGAAACTCCAAACCGGTATTAAAACATTTCCTACAGTTAGCAAGAGTTTGCAAGTCCATTATCAGAGTTTGCAAGTAAGTTCATTGGCCAGGGCGAGCTTTCAAAGTTTTGTGCCCGGCCCTTCAAAGTCAACCCAGAAACTCCAAACCGGTATCAAAACATTTCCTACAGTTAGCAAGAGTTTGCAAGTCCATTCTCAGAGTTTGCAAGTAAGTTCATTGGCCAGGGCGAGCTTTCAAAGTTTTGTGCCCGGCCCTTCAAAGTCAACGAACATGAACTTGACCCACCCACTTCCTATGATTTGACCCAAACCAATACCAAAAGTTAGCAAATAGTTAGCAAATAATAGCAAATTTACTGTAGGAGTTAGCAAATCATAATTGAAGAAAATATAACTAATTTTTATTTGGGTGGGTCAAGTTCAGGTTACCCACCCACTTTATCCGATCGACTCCAAATAAACACCGGTAGTTAGCAAATAGTTAGCAAATAATAGCAAATCAATTTTTGAAGTTAGCAAATCAAAATTCTATTTTTGGCCGATTTTAGAAAAAAAATTTCAGCCCACCCACTTTGTCCGATCGGCTCCAAATAAACACCGGTAGTTAGCTAATAGTTAGCAAATAATAGCAAATCAATTTTTGAAGTTAGCAAATCAAAATTCTATTTTTGGCCGATTTTAGAAAAAAAATTTCAGCCCACCCACTTTGTCCGATCGACTCCAAATAAACACCGGTAGTTAGCTAATAGTTAGCAAATAATAGCAAATCAATTTTTGAAGTTAGCAAATCAAAATTCTATTTTTGGCCGATTTTAGAAAAAAAATTTTCAGCCCACCCATAATAGTTTTTCAAGTCGATACTCTGTATCCTGCCGGAACTGCCTTCTATTCTTTTAGCAAACACCTCACAATATATGTTTTATTTTACACTCTTTAACACATATCCTATGTTATGAAGAATTAAATATATGTTGTATGTACACCTCTACTTATAAGTGGTATTAAAATAACATAATATATGATTTATTTTATAGTAGTTATAAAACACCACAATTCATAATATAGTTTTATATTATTCTTTCATCAATAAAATAAACATACTTATAAAAAATAATTTTTAAATCAATTTAAATTTATTTAAATCTTAGGGATTTTTTACTTTTTTTATATTTGAACTCTAGGTATTTATTGGAATACTAAAAACATAATTATAATATAATAAACTTATCCTGAAAGTTATTAAAATTATTTTAAAATATTAAATAAGAAATAATGACAAACATACAAAATAGTAATATAGTTTGTTAGTTGCTACTTGCTTCTTGATTTTTAAACTAAACTATTGTCTGATGTACATTATTATATGTGGGTTTACTGTCGTATTCGATATGTTTTTAATTTTTTTAATTTTTTTTTCCAAGTCGTTGTGTATTTCCCATTGATCGAATCCTCGTCTCACGTAGGTTACGTAGTGAAACGATATGTAATGTATTACAGCAACTAATATGAACCTAAAAAATATATGTCAATTTATATAGATTCTATGTATTTTTTATTACGTAACTTATAAGTCTAATGATATAAAAATCTAAATAAAATAAAAAAATATAAAATATATATTTAATTAAAAAAAAATTCATTTGATGAAAAAATCTTTATTTGATAAAAAAATGAATATTTAATTCAGTAAAAATATAAATGGAAATAAAAATTCAACATTTTTTTATTTGAATTCAATTTGCTGGGTGATTCTTTTATCAAACAACACTCATATACATATACACAAAAGTGTAAATTTTTTTGAAAATATTTTTTTACATAGTTTCAAGTCGCTTATAAAACAACATTTTTATTAAAAAATTATATTTTTAAATATTTTTTATCCTTATAATTTTTTAAGTTTTTTACTTTTTTGAATAACAACATAGGGTTTTAATTTTATATTCTAAAGTAGAATATTTTTCTTAGTATTTTGATACATGAAAATTGAATTTGGGGCGAGTAGTTTATGAGTTATAAGTATTTAAAGTTTAGACGAGCGGTGAAGTGGACAAACATTTCGCGGGGTAACCCCGAACCACTCCACTCCGCTTGATTAGCTATTATTTGCTAACCATTAGCTAATTACCGGTGTTTATTTGGAGTCGATCGGACAAAGTGGGTGGGCTGAAATTTTTTTTCTAAAATCGGCCAAAAATAGAATTTTGATTTGCTAACTTCAAAAATTGATTTGCTATTATTTGCTAACTATTAGCTAACTACCGGTGTTTATTTGGAGCCGATCGGACAAAGTGGGTGGGCTGAAATTTTTTTTCTAAAATCGGCCAAAAATAGAATTTTGATTTGCTAACTTCAAAAATTGATTTGCTATTATTTGCTAACTATTAGCTAACTACCGGTGTTTATTTGGAGTCGATCGGACAAAGTGGGTGGGCTGAAATTTTTTTTTCTAAAATCGGTCAAAAATAGAATTTTGATTTGCTAACTTCAAAAATTGATTTGCTATTATTTGCTAACTATTATCTAACTACCGGTGTTTATTTGGAGTCGATCGGACAAAGTGGGTGGGCTGAAATTTTTTTTCTTAAATCGGCCAAAAATAGAATTTTGATTTGCTAACTTCAAAAATTGATTTGCTATTATTTGCTAACTATTTTCTAACTACCGGTGTTTATTTGGAGTCGATCGGATAAAGTGGGTGGGTTACCTGAACTTGACCCACCCAAATAAAAATTAGTTATATTTTCTTCAATTATGATTTGCTAACTCCTACAGTAAATTTGCTATTATTTGCTAACTATTTGCTAACTTTTGGTATTGGTTTGGGTCAAATCATAGGAAGTGGGTGGGTCAAGTTCATGTTCGTTGACTTTGAAGGGCCGGGCACAAAACTTTGAAAGCTCGCCCTGGCCAATGAACTTACTTGCAAACTCTGATAATGGACTTGCAAACTCTTGCTAACTGTAGGAAATGTTTTAATACCGGTTTGGAGTTTCAGGGTTGACTTTGAAGGGCCGGGCACAAAACTTTGAAAGCTCGCCCTGGCCAATGAACTTACTTGCAAACTCTGAGAATGGACTTGCAAACTCTTGCTAACTGTAGGAAATGTTTTAATACCGGTTTGGAGTTTCTGGGTTGACTTTGAAGGGCCGGGCACAAAACTTTGAAAGCTCGCCCTGGCCAATGAACTTACTTGCAAACTCTGATAATGGACTTGCAAACTCTGGCTAACTGTAGGAAATGTTTTAATACCGGTTTGGAGTTTCTGGGTTGACTTTGAAGGGCTGCGTGAAGTTGGCCCTGAAGTATCATTATTTCCGATAACTTCCATAATTTTAACTTGCAAATTCTAAAAATAGTCTTGCAAATTCTTGCAAACTACTTGCTAACTCTGAGCATAAGTTTCAAAATGTTTTAACATAGTTGAAGGGCCAACTTCACGTACGTACCTAACTCGGAGTAAGTCGCACTATACGATACTAGTGTTACCTAATATATAATTGGATACTGTTAATAGTTATAATATACAGAATAAACCAATCGCCTATTAGAAACAATCGGTTAATCGACACATTTCAACATGGTCCAAAAGTGTTCCTAATACTGTATAGTATAATATACTAACATTATAATAATGTTTATGTATTTAATACCTACTTTATATTATATGTTTTTATAATTTATTACTGTAGATGATAATAAAAAATTGCAACTCTTTCTAATTTATATCAACTTAATTAATGAGACTCAAAACAATAAAATATAATAAATTGCAGAGTGCAAACACAACGAGAGCTCTAGGTATATAAAACAATTGTGTCATACAGTTATAATAACGATTGTAATAATAACAATAATAATAATAACAATTAACAATAATAGTAATAATAATAATACTTAAATGTTACCAGTTTACTCTGATACAATATTAGTACAACGTATACAACAATAGGTTAGAACTTAGGACTCAGTTATTCTCAAACTGTCCCCGGATGGACCCTCTGGATATGTGAAAAATGGTTGCGAACACCTTAACAAAAATAAAAATAAAAACAATACCTAATAAATATTAATAACTAAATTTTTCAATACTTATACAGAAGAGTTTTTGGACCCCTTCAGGTAGGTATAATTACGGACTTCTAGGGGTTCGTAGACTACAGTTTTGGAAACTGTTGGGTTATAGCAGTGATTTATATATGTATAATAAGTGATTTTAGTTAAGAATAAGGTACATATATAGTTGGTATAATAGCTGTTATAATAATACAATATGATTATGCAATATGTAAGTTTTAAATTTTATTAATATTTATTATATGTCTTATTGAAAGTCTAATCAAATAGGTAAATTTATGTATTTAAATATTCGATTTCATACAATATTAATCAAATTAAATATGTAACTATAAATGAAAAAATAGTTTTGCACTCTATATATTATATAGCTGCAGAGGTAATATTTTTAATTCTCATATAACTTATAATAAGATTTAAATGAACAAACTAAGGATTTATATGAAGGCAATATAAACTTAATATTATATTGCATTTTTATATCACGTCCATATGCATGTAGTATTAATTTTCAATACATAAAATAATTGTTTTAATTATTTTTATCTTAATAAAATGTAATGTAATTATATCTACCAACTGCAATATAGT